TTATTGGGCTTAAATCAACTCGCCAATCAAACCCAAAATTCTTTCCAATAAAAATATTATTTATCTATTTATATATATATATATATATATTTTGATCTTGGATAGAGATGTTTCTTATATACGAAGAAGCTCGGTATGATTTTGTTATATTTTTTTACTTGCCCTTTTCTCTACAGATTAGATTTCAAAGGTTGAACAGACCCCGACGAAGCGACAAAATTGATCAACTCAATCATATAATGAAAATTATGCGAAAAATTTGTGTCGTTTGACATAAAAGTTGACCCTCTCAATGGAAAAATTATTGTGTCCTCCCACCTGACATAGAGCTACATCAAGTAGCCTATGATATGTCGCCACGTGTACTTACTTTTTACCGCGCGGCCCGATGACCCGACTCGGACCGAATCCAGGATTACTATGTTCGCGTATTGCTCGGTATTGCTCTATGAAGACCAATACCGAGCAATACAGAGCAAATACCGAGCAAATACCAGGCAAATACCGAGCAATGCCGAGTAATACCTAAAAGAACTTGGTATTGCTCGGTATTGGTCTTCACATAATAGTATTTTTCATTTTTGTCGAGCAAAATCGACCAATACCTAGTAATATTGAGCTATGTACGCAAACTCCCGGGTCCGTTACGGGTCGGGTCGTCGGGCCGCGCGGTAAAGAGTAAGTGCACGTGGCGACATATCATAGGCTACCTGATGTAGCTCTACGTCAGGTGGGAGGACGCAATAATTTTTCCTCTCAATGCCTACAACATAAGAACTAGTACCATATTCATTATATTTCACATATAACATTCACACCTGCCTAAGTTCTCTTACACCGCATTCATTTTTCAGGCAACAAAACAATCTCTTAATTTTTTATTCACTGGCCTATTATATGCCCTTTAATTTAATAAACTTTTTATAATATCCCATGTACAGTAAAATTTAGCATATTATTACAAGAATAATGAAAGTTCATGGGGAAGAAAATAGTAGATAGTTTGATTTAAGTTTAAAAATAATATTGAGTATATTATTTCAAGTTCAATGAATTTTTATAAATATTTTTTTGTTCTTTAAATTACCTTATGTGTATTTTGAATATATTTTAATAGTCAAAAAGATTCAAATTTATAAGTAACATAAATGAAAAAGTTCAAACAAAGTTTGAAAATGTGTTATACTCTCAACTTAGCTCAAACCCGATGCCAAATTAAGCTAAAACGTCTTAAAAGCTTTTGGTTAGAATTATTATAAGTGTATTTTTATAAATGATGAGCTACAAATCATAAAATTTATTTTACCAGTTGAGTTCTCATTTCTCAACTTTAGAGAATTAATTTTATTCTATAATAAACAGGCCATAAATTCTTTTATTAAAGTATTATTTCATTGTATTCCAACTTTTTTGGTCCTTATTTTAGTGGCAGTTTGTTTGGTGAGAAGTAAAATTGATGTAAAGTAGAGTGAATATATGTTTTTGAAAATTTTGATGTTTAATTTGATAAAAAAGAAAGGCTAAAGTATAGTAAATATAACATCAAATAATTTAGTTCATTTTTGAGATCAATGGTTCTCACTCAATTTTGAACAAGACAGATTTATACCGCAAGCAAGCTCGGCCACAACTGGCCGCCACCACCCAACACCACCAGCTCCACCTCCAAAGCCGACAATCTCCCGCCACTGGCAGCCGCCACCTTCCAACATATCAACCATCGCCGGTCACCACAATCGTCACCCTCTGGCCACCAGTACCGCCTGCCACCACCACCTACCATCACTATCACTAATTACTCGTCATCACTATCTTTAAATTTTACACTACATTTATTTTACTTCAAATTAAACAAAAAAAAAATCATTTATCTAAATTTATTCTACACTCGCCTAGATAACTAAAAGTATTACTTTTACAGCGCCACCAGTTGTGATTCTCTTCAACTATCGCAAGACATCGTTGGGTCTTGCCTCCTGCCGCTTGCCCAATCACTATTGTCGTTCATCGTTGCTCGCCAGTTGATCTTTGTCATTGTAATCGCATGCACATTTGATTCAAGACAATATGATGCCGGCTGCCGCTCGCCCTGCAGGCCTGCACTCTCTCATTTAGCCTTCAATGTTGATTTGTGGTCAAGTTGGTGAATGAGATGGATGGAACATGAGATCATTTTTTTCAAGTAAAATATTCATACTGTTCAATGAAAAAAAAAAAATGTTGACACAGCTGCTACGATGACTCTAAGGTTTCGTTTGGACTGCATTTTTACTATTTTTAAAGCGGTTTTTTAGTATAAAAATTAAAATTTTTGTACTAGAAAGCCGCTTTAAGAACCAATAAAAAAATTGTCCCAATTTTTTATACTAGAAAGCTGCTTTAAAAAACAGTAAGAAATTTAAAAAACTATCCCAAACGAAGCCTCAATTGTGAATAATAGTTAATTTGGGTGACTTGGGCTTTGTTCGGGAGAGTTTTTTTTTACTGTTTTTTAAAATATTTTTTGAGTAAAACAAATTAACTTTTGTACTAGAAAGCTATTTTAAGAAGTAGTAAAATAGTTGTCCCAAACAAAGCTTGAGTTTTGAAAGAAACTCAACTCAATTTGCTCTGCTACTTGAGAGCTTTATATACTAATTAAGAAATCTTTAGAGATCAGTAAGAAAACCGTTGAAACTTAACTCATAACCTATAACTAATTTCTTGTAACTTTGACTTAAAGTCCATACTAGGAGAGTGAATAACTAAGAAGCTCTAGTTTTAGAAAAATTATGAACATACCATATACAAGATAATACAAAGTCACAGATTCATTACAGGCAGATTAACACGGCAGAACTGAAACAATATGCACATCCTTTTTGTGTATCCTAAATTATTTTTGTTGAGCTCGAGCCAACCCAACTGATTAAATGATGTCAATCTCATAGGCCAATCGGACTGGATCAGGCCAATCAATGACTAAATGTAGGATCATCTTATATCTGAAAACTTTTTATGCATAGCTCATATAATTAAAGATATATAATTATAGAACTTTTTTTGGCCAGATTTTATTAGGTCATATTATATCATTCATGTACTTAATGGTGTCAATTTTGGGTCACGAGTTGGATTCGGGTCGAATATGAAACTAACCCGATACTATATATTCGGGTCAACCTAAACCTGACCCATTTTTGCAAATGGATCGGTTATCCGAATCTGAACCCAACCCGCTTCGGATCTGAGTCAAACCGACACGACCCAAATGAACTGGTGCGCACCATTTATTAGCAGCAGTTTGAAAACTGCCACTATAGATTAATATTAGCAGTGGTTTTCACTTCAGCTAAAAAATTATTAAAAATTTTGAAAAAGTTTAAGCATATTACAGCAGCATTCATGAAACTGCTTCTAACAGCGAACGCAAATACAGCGGATTTGCAGCGATTTCTAAACCGCTGCAAATAAATTAGTAGTTGTTTAAACCGATACAGTAGGTTATAAAAAGTGTTGAGAAAGCTTATTTTTTTAGTAGTTGCCAACAAAAAAATTGTTAGTTTTCAGGTTCAAAAATGAGTTAATCTCTACTTTTAGGGTTAAAACGAGTCAAACGGGTCAACCTCGGATTGCCGGGTCAAAATGGGTCAATTTCGGATCAAAGGGTCAACTCGAACCCGACCTTATTTTTGAAACGGATTGAATTGTTGAACCCACAAACCGAACTAGTTTCGAGTTCAGGTTGACGATAACCGAAATTTTCGAGACGGATTCGAGTATTATTTTCAGGTCGTGTCAAATATTGACACCCCTACATGTACTTAACTTTTTATTGTATTTTTTATATAACATTATTTTTACTCTCACTTATAAAAAAGGGTCCGAGGTCAAGTCTAATGACACAACAATTTACTTGTATAGACCTAAATCTCTAACTTTAACCAATAAAATTATATGGATTCTCTCTCACCCGCTCTCCCTTTTTCGTTCTATACTTTTTATAGCCAATCTTGCACTTTAAGTCATCCCCACTGACAAATTTAAATTCAACATCCTGAAAAATGCCATAAGCATAAATAGAACATGTGACCTTCAGAAAAATTCTGAACATTTCAGAAACAGACAATACAAAGTTACAGACCGATTACAAGCGTATTAACACAGCAGAGTTGAAACAACGTGCGCCATCCTTTATCCCACTCATATTCATGCACAACTCATACATCTATAACCCCTATATGAAATACTCATTCATCAACAACTAATCCAACCCATTCGTTCAAACAGACGATAGTATAGTCTTGCTGTACCCAGTTTCATTATCATAATATCTAGACCAAAGCATCACCCCTCCATATTTGCTAGACCCCTTAATCGCTGGAAGCACCACAGAAGTCAAGTCACCAGTCGGTATGAAACCGCTACCAGCCGCATCAGGCGCTGCTGGCAAGCCAAGAAAGAACTCAGTAGCCTTAATTCCATCAGTCCACTGATTCCAAGCATCCTCAAGATTCGTGGGCTTCCCTCCCGAGTATTGGCACGGCGGGTTATTGTAGAACTGAACCCAGATGTAGTCGAAGAGCCCGGTGTCAAGAGCTTTGCCAACCCAAGCGTCGGGGTAAGGGCACTGTGGCGCCGCCGAGAGGTATACTTTCTTTCCCTGATTGCTATAAGCGGAGAGGTATTTGGCCAAGTCGTCATAGTGGTCGGGGCTTCCGCCTTCTATGTCGAAGTCGACGCCATCGAGCACTGCGTCGCCGAGCGGCCTGGAGGAAGATTGGCCGCCGAGGTAGTTGTTCCAGATGTAGGTAGAGACCTGGTAGTAGAATTGTCGGACAGAAAGAAAGATGGATGTTAGTGAAATGATTGTGTTTGTTTTGTTCGTATTCGCTTGATTTGAGCTGAACAAATATTTTAATCTATTGGTTCTGTAAATTTTTATTATATATTATTAAGCTTGTTCTAAGATGTTATTTTGATCAAACTGAAGAGAAAAAAGGAGGCAAAAATGTTAGGTGGTAATGATGAATTTTAAAGACTTGTATGATTTACTTTTATACAACAATAATAAAAAGTCTTTATTCCATTATATTATATGAGATGGGCTACACGTATTATTATTTTTTTAGTTATATCCAATTAAGAATTAATTTCTCATTTAAATTAAATAAAAAATATATTTTTTAGTAGTTTTCTATTTTTAACCTTTTTTTTTAATTTATATCTACCTTTCTAATATATGTCAAATCTAATACATCTACTTTCATAACATAATCATTGGAAGGCCGATTTTTCATGTGACCAATAATTAAATCATCGAAGTTAACTCTCTCTAATCTTATGTATCACTAGAGCTATACAAACATTTTTATGTATGCTTAACTTTGATAAGATGTGATATTTACTTATGATAGGATGCTAGAATAAAATAAATGTATCTAACATTCTAACAACTAGTGAATTATTAGTAAATTTGTAAATCATTTTGGGAGATATTTGCATAAATGAGAAATATTAAGTCTCTATTCTTTTATCTTTATCTTCTCTCACGTTTATTATTGAGTTGCCAGTGAATTTGAATCCGCCTTTTACTTCTCCAAGGTCGAAATGGTTGCGATCTTAATTTCTAATATGGTTAGATTTTATTAAAATTATGCTGATTTTTTTTTTTTTTCATTTTATGATCATGATAGCATTATTATTTCCAATTTTACCTTAGTGGTGCAATTTTTTTTTTAGAATGGGGTATCTACCCGCTACCATCCTCATAGAAGAGGCGCTTGGCGGAGTAACTAATCCTTGACGGGCCTAGCGGCAACCAGCCCAATAGGTGTCGGACAATGCACTTTTTTTCTCCTCATTTAGGCTTCGTTTGAGGAACTTTTATTTGGTCCGGTGAACATACGCAACTCTACGTTCGGCCGCCAGTAGAATCGCGCCACGCGTTTTCATTATTTACCGCTCGCCCCGACAACCCGACCCGGAACGGACCCAAGATTGCTCGGTATTGCTAGGTATTGGTCGATTTTGCTCGGCAATAACCAATACCGAGCAATACCGAGCAAATACCTAACAATATTGAGCAAATTCCGAGTTGTACCGATTTTTTTCTAGCAATACCGAGCAAATACCTAACAATACCGAGGAAATTCCTAGCAATATCGAGCAAATCCCGAGCAAATACCGAGTTGTAGAAGAACTCGGTACAACTCGGTATTTGCATGGTATTGGTCTTCATAGAGCGGTATTTCTCGTTTTTTGCAAAGCAATACCTAGCAATACCGAGCAATACCAAGAAAATCGCGAGCATAACATTCCCGGGTTCCGGTCCGGGTCAAGTCATTGGGCCGCGCGGTAAAGAGTAAGAGCACGTGGCGACATGTTATTGGCGGCCGAACGTAGCTCTACGTCCGGTCAGAGGACGTAATAATTTTTCTCGTTTGAGATCGACGGCTTTCTTTATGCTTCTTAAAACAGTTTTCCAATATAAAAATTTTAATTTTTTACTAAAAAATAGTTTTAAGAAACAGTAAAAAAGTACTACCAAACAAGCCTTAATGTGTCGCGCCACATAAGAGAGGAATCTAACGTGGGTTGTGGGTTTCCAACCACCCTCTCCCACCAACCTAGCTAAGTCCAATGGGGAGTGGTGTTAAAATCACAAATAATTTTTAACATAATCAAAATTACAAATAAAAAAGTTTCTGAAAAAAAAAAACTTTTTGTTCATATTTAGCTCGAGCGACTTCTGCTTGATTATGTAATCACCAACCGAATCATAAAAAGAGTAAAGACGACGAGCCCTCACCTGTCGAGCGTCATCCTTCGAGGTGAGGATATAAGAGCCAGCACCGCCACCAATGGATAGCAGAACCTTGATTCCTTGCTTCTGGCACGACTTGATATCGCTGCTAAGTCCAGTGCAGCCATTCGAGTAGGGATCGCAGTGGCCGGCGAGATTCAGCTGAGGTTTCTGCCCATTGCCGAAAGAGCAGAGGAAGGCCAGAATAACGAAGGCGTAGTCACCAGAACCGCAGGTGTCGGCCAGGCTACCTTCGTTGCCGTTTTGGCCCCAGTAAATGGCAATTTTGCCGGCTTGGGAGGTGGCCGTAAGGGCGGCGAGAGCTAGAAGGGAAACAAGCCGTACCTTAGTTGCTGCCATTTTGGGTTCTTTGATTCGCTTATGGGTCAGAGGAGCTGAAGGATCTGTTTATATAGAGCTTGATTTGAGAGGAGTTTTCTTCCGGAGAGGATTCCACGTCGCTTAGGATTGAGCAGAGCGTGCCGCCGGAGACACGGCTACAGTTTTAAATGTTGCAGCAGTTTAGTTGGGCGGAGTATCGCTAGCTAAAGATTTATTATGGATTATAATTAGGGGTGTCAATATTTAAGACTCTAAAAAATTGACTCGAATCTGATTCAAAAATTTCAAGTTAGGGTCAACTCATTTCACGTGTCGGGTTCTGATTCAACAAATTTAAAAATCGGTTTGAGTTTGGGTTGACCCGAAAACCCAGAAATGACTTGGAATGATACAACTAAGTATGATGATCGTGTTTGCCCATATCGAGTGCCCGCCGTCTGCCCGCATTGATGTTTGTCAAGTCTCTTCGCATGAGTCATCGATCACGTTGTCATCGCGTGAGTCGCGTCAAATCTCCCGAGTCACGCCTGCTGCCGGTCCGATAACCCGCGCGGGTCAGGTTCAGGTTGAAATATCTGACTACAAACGAGTATGATTAACTAGTTTCTGATCATTTCCTAATTCGACCCGAATCCGACCGGTGATTCCATTTTGACAACCCTAATTAGAATATTCTTAGGCCCATTTAGTTACTTAAAATTAAAATAGTTATTACGCCTTAAAAAAATCATAAATTTTCACAAAATTCTTTTAAAAAAATTTATTTTTTGAAACAAAATAAATAAAGGTCCCAATTTGTTACTTGAAATTAAAAACTATATTTTAGAAAAGTTATAAATTATAAAAAACTAAAAAAAATGATCATCTTCTAATTTTTTTTTTCATCTACAAGCAATTATGAACCAATTGTTTTCCAGGATTACGTAAGGGGTTTGTAGAATTTGGCTTAAGATTGATTATTTGGATTAACAAATGCGTACGGTGTTAATAGATGGCTTAGATATGCGTACGGTGTTCCAAATGCTTACGAATAAAATATTGGAATAATTGGATTAACATATAATGTCTGCAAGTTTTTATCCAAGGGCTTAAGATTGATAGATGGCTATTGACATCGTTCTTTAATTCTCCAAATTATTTGAAATATTTTTATTTAAAATAGACAAATTACTAACTTTTTTTAACAGAAAAAAAGAGATTTACATACATACCATTCTATGCTATTCTATTTACATATTTAACACCTAAAATTTTAATATTACATACATGCCACCCATAGTTCATTTTTATATCAAATATTAGTGGTAGAAATGAAATATATGAGTGGTAAGAAGAAAATATGAGTGACATATTTGATATTAAAATAATATAGGATTGTATGTATGTAATATTAAAGTTTTAGGTATTATATATATAAATAGGATGCTATAAAGTGGTATGTATGTAAATTTCCCTATATATATATATATATATATATAGGGATACATCACAACAATGTCACATAAGGAGATTTACAATCATAGAAACACAAAAAAAAAAGGTCAAAAGTAATTTGAGTGAAAGACTGACCAAATCATAACAATAAGACTCAGAACGACACCTAGTTGTCAGGGAAGAGCCAGCCAAGGAGGAAAAAACAAAACGGCCAGAAATCCAAGCCGAAAGCAACCAATCCACAAAAACAAGCCACCAAGGTTGTCAACCAAACTCTGGCCATCCAAGGCGCATGCAGTAAAAACTGCTTCATCATAGTCCTGTTTGTTTCCATCTCAGCAAAGCAACCAAAACTGAAAAAGATCCAAACACCACAACCACAAAACTTCTAAAAAGGAAATGTCATTTCTTTTTAGATTTTCTTTTTCGATGCTTGACAAAATTATCGAGCGAGCCAGCTTTCCAATCGCTTTCAATAATATCATCCCCTATTGTAGATGAAATGAAATCATGTAACCAATCACATTGCCTCAGAACACTATCTCTAGCAAGATGGGCTAACATATTAGCATTCGATATAACATAAATAGGCAAATCCACTAAAGGCACCATGACTCCGGGTCTCCGGCCTCCCCAAATTCAGCCAAGTATTCACCACCCCATCAACTAAAGAGACAGAATTATCCTCTGACAACTCCGCAACATCAGCACAAGTAGGACTAGCCCTAAGATTAATACAATAATTAATATCATTCATGGCCACACGGGCATGAGTCACAGCAGGAGAAACATCACCATCAACATCACCAAAAACTGCCAATCCACCATTAACGACAGGAGAGCCCTAGAGCAAGCCGCATTAGCAGATAAAGGAGCTGCTAGGGAGATGATGGGGTTAGACAAATTGGAAACTAAAATCATACCAACCAAACTAGAAATAGGATTATGATTTAAACAAACTCCAACTCCAACAACTTCACCACCAATAGAATTAACAGGCAGAGAAGCAGAAGACACAGCCACACGACTCACATTGTTATCAACTGGATTCAAAGGCGGCAAATCAACAGGAGATGGGCCATCCACATTTGGACTAGGAAGGGTAGGAACACTATCAACCAAAACCACACCACCCACCGGAAGCTTATTATCCACATTAACCCATAAAATAGGTTTAGGCTTAGAAGAAGCAACAACCATATCATTATCAAGTGAATGGCGAGAAGCACCAAAAGAATGGCCTATACGTTTACATTTGGCACAATAAGGAGGAAATTCCTCCATAACAACATGTTGAAAATACCCTAATTTCTTCGGACCTAGCCAAATTTTATCCGAAAATTTCTGAGTAATAGTGATTTCCACCAGCACACGGGCCATAGACGGGCGAGACCCCAACGCAATGACGTTATCCACTTTCAGAGGATTGCCAAAAAGAAGCCCCAAACCATGCAAGATACGAGGGGAAAAAATGAGGTTGCAAGTTAGGGAATGAAATCCATATTGGAGCAATGGGAGACTCATCACTAATGCCATCGAAAGGTGACTATTTGGTCATGAAGTGGTCACCTTCATGAAACAATTAAAACCAGATAAGACATATGACAAAAAATCCTACTATAGTCAAGATAGTTCTCCAACTTAATGAGCACATGAGATTGATCCAACAAAGTAATAGAAAAAACTCCATTCAACTTAAGGTTGAAAAAAAAAATTTCTTATTGAGGCGAGACTAGGTCGACGAGGAAAAAAAACCAACTAACGAGAACTTAAAAGGTTATGCCGGGGCATAAAACTCCTCCGAAACTAATAAAAGGAACACCATGAAACGAAGACCGTTTAAGGTCGAAAAATCTACTAGGAATAGAAGTCCTATATAAAGCTTCCAATAATGAACGAGACTTTGTCGATCCCTCAAAAAAATCAAGATCGGCTGCCGGCAAACCACCATGCTGGCAAAGGAAAACCGCAAGAAAAAACGTAAGTGGAGAATACTTCCCTTGGCATGCGAACGACGGAGGGAGCAGCACCAAGCACACCGATAGAAAGCGGCTAGGGCGATGCCCTAGCACACCTAAGAGACATTGCGGGGGTAGTGACCAAAAACTTGATCTTTTGACCCACTCTATTTTTTGTATTAATTCTGAGACAAATTACTAACTTTTTGAACGATATGGAATTTTATCTTAGGATTTATTTAGTTTGATGAAAACATGAGAATGTATTTCAAATAGAAGCATTTTAGAAATTTTGGTACATTGTATGATGAAAAAGAAATGAAAAAAATTAAAAATTAGTATAGTCTAAATGGAATGTAGTTCATTTTTTATATATATTCAAAACTCATCTAATTTGATCAAATTTGAAATACAATGTAAGCTGAACGACTGTCGATGATGACAGCCCTTCCCATCGTCATCGTTGCCCTTTGCCCATATATACCATGTATTGTCCACCAAAGGGCTATCGGTGCCATTGCTCGCTGACAGTATCCACCAAAGGGCTATCGGTGCCATTGCTCGCTGACAATATTGCAAGATAACTCCATCATGCAAACAATTATTGGTGATTGTAGACAATGGCCGCCCACTGTTGTCAATTATCAACCATCATTATTGTTGGACTTTACATTACATTTATTTTACTTCTTATAAATCAAAAATATAATCACATGTATTTGTTTTATACTCTCTAAAACAACACCAAACATTTAAAATATAGCATATTTCTTTTGTGTTGTAGTCATTTTATTCTGCATTATTTTTCAGCAAAACAAACAACCTCTTAATATATCTTCCAGTTACATCTTGATAGGATTTAGCCGGCATGAAATCTTTTTAAAATTTAAATATAATTTATCTTTTAATATTATATAAAACAATTCAAAATAATAAACAAATTAATTAAGTTAAATTACCTAAAAAAAATGTTAAGCTGCAAGCTAATTTAGAATCAGCATATATATTTCATCTGATTACAGTAAGACATTGGAAGTTTTTATTTCACAACTGTTTTTTATAAATTTTATATTGGAAAGTTATTTTTTTACATTCAAATATATTACAATGTGCCGGTTGTAAGGGTGGTTTTGAGGCAATTACAACTATTAAAGATGATTTTAAAATTTTTATGGGAAAATACATTTTCTTAAGGAAATGGTGAATATTATAATATATTTTTTTAACAAATTGGATACAACATTCTTATAACAATCAATACTCTAATAGATTCGATTTTAAAAAGTAGCTTCCGGCCCAAAAATTTCTAAAAAGTAACTAAATAGCACAAGTTGAACAGGTGTGTGATTGTGATATGATAAGAGAGAGTTGCACCAAGTAGAACTTAAAAATGTTATTGATCAACTATTTAAAAAAAAAAAGAATAGTATAATACCAATAATAAATTAAAAAAAAAAAATTATTTGCAGCAATTTTTCAATCACATTTGCAGAAGTTGAAACTAGCTCTCATCGAGGAGAAATTATTACGTGCGGAGTTTCGACATATAGCTACGTCCGAACTCTAGTACACACTGTGTATTGACCAATACATGATGTAAACTAGTGTATTAGTTAGGATACACTG